CTCGGAAGGATGGAAGGCTGAGTCAACCTTGAGCCGGTGAGATTAGAACTGCTGAACTGCAGATAGCAGTCAGCTGAAGTGGCCTGCAGTACTGCACCCTAACCACTGCGCCACCTCGGCTCTTGTGCCGAGGGCCGTTGTGAATGATGGGTTTCCTTAGCAACCACAAATTCACTTCACCACCGTGTTGATTCATTGAATGACCACTGCAAAAATGTCATCAAACGGGGTCGATTGTATGATAAAATCCACTTAACTGACATGATTTGCGATTTATTACGGTCGAGGATTATTTTCATCCAAAGATTTAACTGTACTTTTTAATTTTATCCATTCTGATGAGACTCTGAGGGCAATTAAAGGGATTCTTAGGGCCCCAATCCCTTTGCCTGCTTTATATTACGAATAGCTGATTTCTGAAAAATGACTCTCCAGAAGCTAAAAATCTAAACTCTGCCAAGTAGAGAGACGAACAGAGGGTGAGATCAGGGAGAGAGGTAAAATAAATACTGGTGGATAGAAGATGTTAGCGCCCCCTTGGATTGCCTTGGCTACATAGTTTTGACATTTGCAAACGATAGCTAGAAATTAAAAGGTGCTTCTTTTTTTTAGCACCAAGATCCTCTGTGAACATTTTCATCTTGTTAACACTCTAATACGTGAACCACTTTAAAGAGCTGGTTTGCTTGAGCAACTTTTTAACCATGATCTGGATGACTGAGAATCTCCACAGGTGTCTGAATGCAGTGTTTCAAAGCTAGATGCTGGGCAGTTAGGAGCCAGGCATTTCTGCCTGCCATCTTCCCCTCTGCCTTTACAACGGTTTCTTCTGCCCTTAGTTATTTGCCGACTGTCACCTTCATTTCCTGCGTTTAATCGGTTCTTTGATCCAGTCCGTTCCGCTGAGTACCTGAAATCCTCCTTTAGAAAAACCTAAGATTCCTAATACCGTATTTCCCTGAAAATCCGTCCTACCCCAAAAGTAACTCCTAGCTTGATTTGTTTAAACGTGCACCAGGGCTGGGTTCCGGCAGTCACTACTGCTGGTTCACTTGTGGGTGCACCGCCCCTGCATGCGCAATGCAATTAAAATTCCTCTGTGCATGTGCAGAAGCAAAAAAACCAAGGTGGCGGTGCCATAGGAGAACCAGTTCAGGGGCATGGCAGGCCTGGGTCGCTGCCAGTTCTAGTGACCCAGGCCGCCAAACCACTAGCAGTTCAGCCGAACTGGTAGGAACCCACCACTGACATGCACCCCATATAAGTCCTACCCTCAAAATAAGCCCTAATTAAGACCCCGCCCACTCCAGGGTGCACGGGTAAAAATTAAGCTTGAGAGGGGGATGGAGCTGCCCTTCGAACAGTTGCAGCAAGGCCTTGCGTACCTCGGCCCATTTCTCCTGCAGCCGGCAAGGCTTTCCTGCAGGCCTCTGTAGCTGATAACAGATCTCCAGCTCCATCTGGAGCTCTGTTATCGGCTGCAGAGGCCTTCGCTGGCTGAAGAAGTTCCTGGAAGCATCTGACAGCGACAAGGAGGCCAGGGACAAGGCACGCAAGTGAGGTGAGTCGGGGGCTGACATCCCCCTCCTCCTGAAAATAAAACCTAGTGCCTTTTTTGGTGGCAAAAAAATATATAAGACAGGGTCTTATTTTCC